TAGTAGTAGTAGTATTGCATTGCAACCGTCGCACAGAATCCGAGTGCTTGACGAGGGAAGGCAGCGCACTGCAATTGCAATAACACCGGCCGTTCTGTGACGGCGACATCCTTTTGATGCCCCAGCTTGCTAGTAAACTACTTAGTCCATAGCATCGAGCTCAAATCCTCCGGCTGGTCCCGCTTGCTCTTCTTCTTAATCAGACTCCACCAAAGTTGGAGCTTCAGCAGAACCTGTTCCCTGACTCTGACTACTGGAGGAAACCGTTGAGGTGCGCAGAAGTAGTAGTAGTAGTAGTAGTAGTAGTAATAATAATGATAATGATAATAATGATAATAATAAGAAGAAGAAATAAGAATAATAATAATAATAGTAACAATAATAATAATAATAATAACGATAATATTGTAGTACGAATAGCAACGATAATGCTAATAACAATAGTAATGGCGGTGAAGATGAGGCTGTGGCTGCTGATGATGATCAAGGTGTTTCTGACGACGACCACACACATCCTGGAGATAAAGGGAATGATGGGGATGAAGAGGACGACGCTGAAGACGGGGATAGTGACGGTGATGGTCACAACGACGACAATGGACATCCTTGAGATGGCGGGAGCGATGAGAGAATGAGGACGAGGAGAGGAGGAGGAGGAGGAGGACGTGGAGAAGGAGGAAACAATGATTCTGACGATCATGGTGACGGTGATGTTGATGACGACGAGAATAAACATCATGGAAAGAATTGGAATGATGATGACGATGACAACGAAGATCACTGACAACTTCAACCACTCATGTCACGCAGTCCTTTCACCCCAATCAAAGCAGCTTCTGAGCCCGTGGGCTCCAAGGTCATTCTTGCCCAGACCCCCAAAAGGATCTAAGAAATAGATCCCCTAATTAGGGACCCTCACTACTAAAGGGTACTTTACAGGAACCCCCTTAGGGGATCTATTTTTTGGATCCTTTTGGGGGTTTGGGTGAGGAACATTCCCAAAGCCAGAAACTTAAACTCCGAGGCTGTCCTAGACTCGAAGTGAACAGAAATAATCCTGAACTACCCAAGTTCAAGCTACGCGGCCTCAACCATGAACATGACAGGCCTTGCAGTCTGAGCCCGACGCCGGCCGGTTCGGTCTTGGGATGGTCGGCCTGGGTGCTGCTGCATGTGTGGAATACCTCTGCAGCTTACAGGAGCCTGAAGTTCCCAGAGAGCCCAATACCCCGTCATTAAGGGATATTCCTTAGCTCATAATATTAGGGCTTCTGTAATTTAAGGCATATTCCTTAATTAAGGGGTATTGGGGCTCTCTGGGTTTAGCAGGGTACAGAAACTCCAGTCTCGGACTCCCATGACCTGTGACCTGGTAACTGCATGTCATCCGTACGACTTTGGAGTGGAGGGGTTTAGGGTTTAGGGTTTAGGGTTTAGGGTTTAGGGTTTAGGGTTTAGGGTTTAGGGTGCCAAAAACACACGACCTTCGCGTCCTGTTCCGAGGGCATGCATACGCAACTTAAATTGATGATCAACTGCGGCAGTGGCCTGTCAACTCGACGCTACTACAAGGATCCGGTGACTGCTATCCCGAACTTCCCACTCCATCTGTGAGACCCCGTGAACTGGGGGCTGAAGCCCTCAAATCCCAGACTCGAACCCAGAGAACCCAATACCCCTTTATTAAGGAATATACCTTAAATCCGAATATTAAGGCCCCTATAATTTAAGGGTATATTCCTGAATTAAGGGGTATTGGGTTCTCTGAGAACACGAAAGCTTCAACCCCCCCTGTTTCTTTGCTAGCGCGCGGTTGCATTCACCTCTTTCTCAGAGGCTCTGGCTCTCTCTGTATGCCGATGTGACCTTTTAACCTCTATCTACATCACTACTGAGATGACGTCCCTGTACATAAATATAAATAACCATGTGCATGTATATACATATATCATACACATATATATATATATATATATATTGTTTATATCTATTTATTTGTTTGCCTATATAATTATTTGTTTATGCATCTATTTGTCCGTCTATTTTATGCATTTATCTATCTATTGGTTTATCTATTTGTTTACATACTTTTTACTTATTTATTATATACACACGTGTGTATATAATGTATGGATAGAAACTGCGGAACAACCCTCCTGTTCAAGCAGGCATGGATCAGAAGATGCAAGCCGAGGCTTTGGCCTTTGCACCAGAGCTTTCGGCGCAGCTTCGGGAACCTGCTCTCTTTAGAGCCCTTGAGGTTTTCTTGGGCGAGCATGGAAGAGCTGCATTTAAGGACACCGAAAACCCTAAACCCTAAACCCCAAACCCTAAACCCCTAAAACCGCAAACCCTAAACCCTAAACCCCTCAACCCTAAACCCTAAACTCCAAACCGCCTAAACCCACTTCGAAGCAGAGACCCGGCCTTGGCCTTGCTTTTCGATCGCAATCGCAAGGGGGTGGCCTGGGGTTTCAGGGAGGGCGCCTCCCCGAAAGCTCGCTTGAGGCCCCTGGCTGGCTTCCCATCCTCAGGGGTTTAGGGTTTAGGGTTTAGGGTTTAGGGTTTAGGGTTTAGGGTTTAGGGTTTGGGGTTTGGGGTTAAGGGGTTAAGGGGTTAAGGGGTTAAGGGGTTAAGGGGTTTTGGGTTTAGGGTTTAGGCTGGCTTCCCATCCTCTGGCGCCAGAGTCTGGGCCTTGAGGCCCTTGGCTGGCTTCCCATCCTCTGAAGCAATCGGGGCGATGTTCACCAGATTGTTCACCCGCACATTCCTTGGCTGACTTCTGAACCCCTCCAAAAAGTTAAACTTTTAGTCTCCTTATTATAGTTATATAGATACCCAAAAAGTTAAAGTCCTAAGAGCCAACCAGAAGAACGCCAGGATTCTTCACCTGCCCAGAGTCCAGCCGCACCTGCCATCGACCGCGTGAGCCATCGAAGGAAAGCAGTGTTCCCAGCTGGTCATTGAGCTCCACAAAGGCTTCCAGGCCCACCAGGCGAACTCGAGTCTTCTCCGAAAGGTTTTGTGCTGTGCTCCCTGTGGAAGTCGCTGCATCGCCTTTCTTCTTCGGAGGTCTGCTCGAAGTCGCCTCCAGTGGGAGAAGGGGACTACAGACTCGGATCCGCCCAGTGGCAACTACGTCAAGACCGTACAACCGCGCGAGAGTCACGGAAGCGCGATCTAATTATCAAAGTCGAATCGGAGCTCTTGGGGCTCAGGAACTAGGAGGTCAGCAGACCATGTCACCAAGCCCCCCTCCCTCGCACGTTCGACATGTCTGAGGATGCGGCAGCCATGTCGCCTGCGGGCGACCAGATCTACCTTCATCCACAGTTGGGTTATGTAGAGGGGGCCTGCTGGACGGCAATATAATCAGTCAAGTCAACAGAAGCAAGCGTATGGGGATATCGCACAGCCCGAGGAAATTTCTATTCTCACGCAAAACATGCTCACCCCGGCTCAAAATTGGGAGGCCTAGCTAAGTAGAAGCCTCAACCCACACGAGGCCCGTGAAAGAACCCAAGTCGAACTTTTGATTGCAAGCACTTCGAAGTTTGGGAAGCTGCCTGCTCCTGGGTGGCGCGCCCTCATGCAAGAAGCATGCCGGCACAAATGATGTCAGGATCAAGTTGTCTAGACATCATCCGCTGTCCTTGCCTAAAACATTCCTGTCAGCAAATATGAATACCTAAACTTGCGATGCGGACTCAGGCATCCCGAGCACAACTTTCATCCTCAAGAAGCCTGAACACTGAGTCCCACATGGCTTGAGCTTCGAGCCTGAAAACCTGCACAGTGAACTGCATCAAACGGAAATCCGCGACAGCAGCGAGCTAAGAACAAACGCCCAACACCAGATCGGAAAGTCATGCCGGGACTAAGTAGCCACAAGACAACGCCCCCAGAAAGCTCCCAGAGACTCCAATACCCCTTAATTAAGGAATATACCTTAAATCATATAAGGGATCCTATTAAAATTTAAGGTATATTCCTTAATTAAGGGGTATTGGAGTCTCTGGGCTCGCATGTTGCTGTGACAGGCATTCTACGCTATCCACTGTCGGACTTGCTGAAATGCAATCAACGACTGACCTGCTACGATGTTGCGTGAGCCCACACTCTGCACGCAGCAGCTGCTGTTGCACGCAGCAGCTACTGTTGCAATCCGCCTTCTGTGGCTTGGTTTAGAGCCGTGCAAACTTTCAGTTCAACGGGATGGAACATGTACGTCACGTCACCGTCACGTCGGTCATTGCTGCGTCTTCTCCCTTCCTGGGGCTCAAAACGAAGACCGAACCGGGGGCCTGTTTCCTGCTCGGGTAAGTAAGCGGTCTGTAGTGAGATGCACATGTGGTGCCGTCGAGCGGAACAGGATACAACACTGGTGTAATCACGAACAAAAACCCCAACTACGCGCGTTACTTCTTTGAAAGTAGGCCTGTGTGTGGCGCTACCAGTGTTGAAGCTGTTGTGGGGATGCTGAAGGAAGGCCAACAAAGTGCTCCGTTCTAAAATTTTGGATGAACAGAAATTGAAGCAGAACTGGGGGGCCACTTCTCAACCAGAACCAGCACCCTGAAATGCCTTCTTCACGCACCATCCCGGGAAAAGCGACGGACAGACTGAAGCTGGAAAGACACACATGTCAATGTGTGTTTCCAGCGGGTTCAACTAGCCCCAGCTGCGCAAAAATGCCGCGTCGGTTGCCGACGGGCCTTGCACAGCTCAGAGTAATGGCGATGAAAGTTGGGAGCTCAGGTCACTACTTCGCATGCGCTCCGTCATTAACCGATGGCCGTGCAATGACAGCCGGCTCGTTCCATCGAACAGAAACCCATGTGGGTGGTTGTCCAAATTATGGTCCCTTTTTGGGTCCTTACTATAATACGGCACCTATTATTTAGTGTACCCCAAAAGGGATCAAAATTTTCACAACCACCCATGTAACTGGGCAGACGTTCTCAGGAGAACAGAGACCAAGGGTGCCCGAGCCTCTCTCTTGACTCTGTTACCAATGCGTTGTGCCAAGTCGCTCTAGAAGAGTGGCACTGTGAAGTCCCAGAGAACCCAATACCCCTTAATTAAGGAATATACCTTAAATTATAGGGCCCTTAATATTATGATTTAAAGTATATTCCTTAATTAAGGGGGGGTATTGGGTTCTCTGGGTCATGGGCTCTTGCCACAAAGAGGCGGGCTTAGATTTTTAGATATTAAACGTTTCATCAGTGAAGCTGACATCGACCATCAGCAGATCTTCCACGCCCAGGCTGTGCCAGGCACCTGCTAATTTTGGCAGGTATGATTTTCAAAACGAAGCCGTCTCTTCTACCTCCCCAGAGACTCCAATACCCCTTAATTAAGGAATATAGCATAAATCATATTAGGAATATTAGAGATCCTACTATAATTGAAGGTATATTCGCTAATTAAGGGATA